AAGAATAAATGAAAGCAATACCTCTTGTTATCCTTCCTATTTTGTACTTTGAAGACACACACGCGCGCACACACACATATACAGACACAAACTGACATTATTTAATGGTTTAAAATGGACAAAAAAATCTGATGTATCCCTTGTTAAATAACTGTGAGCAACTTTAGTTCAAAAACCAATAAATTCATTCAGTAAAGATACGAACTGTTGAGTGTCCAGTTTATGTCCACGAAAACAAACTTCTCGCCAGTGCCAGACCCGGTAAGTACCGTGTCAAGGCTTTCTACACCAAAGGAGCTGAAGATGGCAGCTGAAGTAAGGCAGCATCATCCTCCTGGCCACGGCTGTGCCCAGCGTGCTCCGCCCTCACAGCGCTGGCATGCCGTGAACAGGTGAAGAGCAAGGACAGCTTAACCCTGTAGGCCTGGTTTTCCACAGTAACGTGTTGAGAAAGATTAATGCAAATTTCAGAGCAATGGCAACCCCCCTAGATCTGGTCTGGATGGAAACCACTGTACCAAAAACTGTTGTTGCTTGTGATTATTCTCATCTCTAACCTGAGCTTCTCACGTTGCTTCCAGATTTAGCAATAGGAAGGATTTCTCCACCCTCCCTGCCTGAAACACTCTCAGTCACATACATTTGAAAAAGCTGATCAGGTACGTCCCTGGCTTGTGTGGGTCTGGGGTTTTGTTGCTGGTTGGTTTGTCAGTCCATGTGGCTGCTGGCTCATCACACGTCGCTCAGCTTTTGGATGTTCCTTAATGCTGGATTTGTAACTGCACCTGGCAATTCGCCTCCTCGGCTCTGACCTGGCTGGTGTGTGCCTCAGAGAAGTGGGTGCTTCCCACACGGCTGGGGAGAGCTTGGCAGGTCCAGGCTCATGGCAGGTCTGCAGCACTGACCCTGCAGACATCCTGGCCCTACACTCACCACATCCTGGCCACTTCTGGACCTGTCTGCTCTGGTGGCCCCCAACAGAGCTGCTCTGGCGGCCCCCAACAGAGCTGCTCTGGCTGAGCCAGGCTGAGTCTCCTGTCCATGGAGGCAGTGAGGGGAGGGTGCTGCCCACGAGGGAGGGAGGGCAGGAGGAGGCCTGGAAAGTTCTGTGGTGCCGCCCCAGCTGTGGGGATGCTCCTGCAAGGCAAGGTGAGGGCTGTGAGTGGGGCTGGGAAGCCCCTGCCCTGAGAGGCAGACCCGGGGCAGCTGCCACCCCTCAGGGCATGGTGTGGTGTCCCTTTGCAGTCCCTGTGACAGCAAGAGGAGTAGTTCACCCACTTCCTCCCTGTGGCTGGGGCCACCGCTGGAGGCTGTAGCTCATCTCTACCAGGTGCAGCTGGAGTTGCTTACCAGGGAGTTGTTTCCCAGGCCTGTGGGCAGCAGCCTCTCCCACTGGGCAGTCTTGTAATTAGCAGTGTACAGGGAGGGTGTGTGCACGGGTAGCAGAAGGGTGGGTGCATCAGGGGTGCTGGAGTGCATCACAGTAGCTGTCACCTTTCAGGGGTGTCACAAGGATGGTTGTGACTTGTGACACTTTCCACAGACGTGCATCAGCTATGAAGCTTTTGAGGCAAGAATGGCAGAGGATGTGCCTCACAAGAACATCCCTGCTGCAGTAAAGACTCAGCAGGGTGCCAGACTCAGCTGTGGCAGACCAGTTCCCGTGAGGTTGTGGTTTTGGCAGGCAGTGTCTCTGGGACTTGATATTCGGGCTTGATATTCATGTTAGCACCTGCTGCAGTGGTAGGGAATGAAGTCTTGCACTGCAGATGGCATCCCCTGTCCATGTAGGAGGGACACAGATGTGCTGTAGGTCCCAAAGGTGTTTGTGCTGGAGAGGCAGAGGGAAACAGGAGTGCAATCACTTGAATATTGTGCATGTTATTCATGCAAAATACACTCATCTCAGAAAAAGCTACAGTGTTTGTAAGGTCTTTGGGGAATTCATTGGTCTGCTAAAATTGCAGGGGAGTGGAGGAGCTGACAAAGATGGAAAGATGTGGAGAATCACAAGTGCTGCAGGATTTGGTCCATGTAACACTGGAAACCCAGAAGTGGGAACAAGCTGTATCATTTGCATCTCTGAAAGCGAGAGAATGTGCTGGGCTGGAGTGTAATACAGGGGAAATGGGATTTAACAGCAGTGTGGCAGCAGCTGTATGCTGCTTCTTTATTTCACTCTCTGTTCTGTTTTCAGAAATGTTTATAAACTTCTATGATCTTTTCATGTCTCCTGTAGTATTCACAGTTAGCATCCCCAGTATTGCTAATTATGGTCTTCAAAAGCTGTAAGAAGAAAATAATGATTTTGCAATGTGAAAGACCTCATGCTTAGGGCCTGCCCACATTTATTCTTGTTTGGCCATGTTACAACACAGACTCTAGCTACATGATGATGCATTACATCTGTAGTGCATAGGAGGGACTGTGCTTCTGAGTGAATTGAGTTTATATTTAAACTGTTGTCCATAAAATATCCTTCTTATTATATAGTTTAAATCTGAAGGCAGGTGGTAAATGTAGCAGGGGATTTTGGTATGTCTCTGTGACTGAGGTCGTTGGATTATCTCTGCTGCCAGATGGGGGCTATTGTCTTCAAACAAACCCAACGCCAGGTGATGGCTGTTGAGATGCTGTGAGCTGTGACACCTGCCCTTCATTTTGCTGAGATTCTGAACTTTGCAGCTCTCCGGTTCACTTAGAGAGCCCAGGTCCTTAGACTTGGTACTGAAAAAAATTACTAGGTTTGAAATTCATCTGTCTTACTTCTTCGGGATAAAACAGTGCAGCGTATGACCTTCCAGGTGTAAGTTGAAGACAAGGCAAGTGTGTAATGCTCTAGTTGGCATTTTATGTTTGTGTGTGTCCAAGTGGCTGTTAACTTTGCATAGATAGGTGCATACATGAGAAATGTGTTTATGCTTAAGGTGAACAGTTACTAATTGAGTCAGGACTTGAAATGTGCTATATAAGCAATAGATTGTTTATATGCACCAAATGAGCATATAATCAGCAAGGCTGAGTCCAGAGTCATGAGGATAAATCTCATTGCCACATGCCAGCATACAGTCTGAGAGCTGAGAAAGAAGTTAGTTTTGTTGGAGAGTGCTAATGCAAATTGTCTAAGCCTTGCAAACGATGCATGAAAATTTCCTCAGTAGTTAGGCTGGCTTTAGTGAAAGTGATCTGATACAAATGACTGAGCTTTAATAGGTCTCACTAGGTATAGGCAAAGGCAGTGTTTGTAAAGACAGCAAAACTGAGTAAGGCCTCTAGGTAGTGCTAATCCTGTGCCTACTGTTACAAGGTATGCCTTCTTTCCTGCTGATTCAGACAGTGCATTTAACCTAACAGGCTTGGACGTTGTCCTAAATACTGCAGCAGAATGCCCACAAGGCATTATGTTCTGTATGGAAGTCTGCAGGACTGGTCCCCCTACCTTTTCTTTATTTCACCTGTATACAACCAATTGTATGTGAGCTCATGATAGAAGGGCAAGAGTGTTTTGGTAAGGAAGAGATTTAGCTCTGAGTTTCTTATTATAGAAAACAACAGGGAGGGAAGAGAGACACTTGTTTAAAAACTGGAAAGTATCTTATTTCTTTGTTGTACCCTTTAATCTTCTTATTTTATTTAAAACCACTTCAACAGCTGCAGCTCCTGCTTAATTTGGAGAACAAAACCCTAGTAGTTCAACTGTCTGGGGATACTTGAGGCCACAAGTAGAAGGGAAACCCACACTGAGGGCAAGTCCTTTCTTCTTCTAAATGCACAATTTATTGTGTGTGTTATTTTTAGTGCAGTAATCTCACTGAGTGCTGCTGAGAGAAACTGTGCCAGACAGGCTTTGAAGGGCTTGAGAAATGGGATTTCCTGTTCCACCGGCTCAGAGCTGACTCTTGCCATTGTCAGGAGCTGTTATCGCCTTCTCACAGCCAAAGTAGATAACACAGCTTCAAGGTCAGGAAAGACAAGCTTTCATCAACAGCATTAGCAGAAGGAAGAGTTTGCTTGC